TTTTAACGAGTCAGTATTACTAGCATAATTTGTTTGCCATTCAAGGGGGAGTATTATGACTAATTGAGTTGAATGGTAAATTAAATGCTCAAAAAACTTTCATCTGTTTTACACCAATTTAGACTTTTGAGCTCTGTAATTAAAGTGCATCAAAATTTTAGAAATGTCATTTTTATTGGCTTTAAATAGAGGAGCAAATGAAATGTATCAAAATGCGCCGAATGAATTATTTTCTTCCTCCTACTTCTTTTGGTCCACAAAGTAAAAATTACTCCATTTTATTTTTTTCTTAGGTCTTACAATTTATTTCATAATATATAAACTATTAAAAATTTATTATATTAAAATAAATAATTAGTACCTTTTTTTTGGATCATTGTATTTACACCCTAGGAATTGCTAAAAGCAACTTAAAATTACTTCACGCAACATGTTAATTTGACACTTTTACCCCTAAACTATAAACTCTCCCCCTTCTTCCCTTTTCCTTTTTATCTCCCTTTCCCAACTCCACTTCCTTACCCCTACTTCGATCCATCTTCATCCAAATTTATTGGCGAAATAGGAATTAACACTAACAAATAGGAATTCAACCTAAATCATAACAATAAATAATTTATTTTTCATTCAATTGATGGATTTTTAATTTTTAAATTGGACTGCTAAAGTTGAACGGAAATGATATCAATAAATAATTACTCAATTCAAACCTAATTAAATACTGAAAATTGTTTTAAAAGAAAAGTAAAAATAAAAAATAAATTTTTGAGTGGTAATCCTAACCCTTTGGAGCTTAATCCTCAGAGCTGCTTCAAGGAAAACTATAAAATTAAGTAATTTCAAGCTACAATTAGAAAATATATCTAAGCACAACTTGATTTTACTTCGTTTAGTTGGATTTGAGTTCAGGAATATTTTAGTCTATTTTGTAAGGTAAGCAAAATAAAATCAAACTGCATTTAACAATACCCTTTTCATAACATGTGTTACATTTACCTAATACGCAGGTAAAACAAATAGAAATAGTAGTTCTATTCTATTCTAATAATATCTAAAATTAGTTATTCCAATTTTATTAGTATCATTTTTAAAATTAGATTATTAAAAAATGCCATGTATGAAATATATGAATGGTAGCCAAACGTTGAGCATGTCCGACCGAATGAACTATGTTTAGAATGCTACTAACTTTCTAGTGCACAAGTAGATAGGAAGATGATGCAAATTATATGGGAGCTCCGGGACGGGCGTGTGTAATACACGTTTCAAAAAATGCGTCTCCAATTTTTTTAAAAATTGGACGCAACTTACGCGCATCATCATGCTTTTTTTTCCCACCTTTTCTCTTCCCCCTTTCATGATCTAATTGAAGTTATTAGAACTTAGAACTTCATCCGCCGATTCTTTGATGGCGATATTCCGACTTCAATTCCGGCTTCAATTCAATTGGATTTAGTTTCTTGACGGTGATTCTAATGTAATTCTTCGATTTGATTTAGTTTCCTATTTCAATTCAATTTCAATTTGATTTAGTTTCTATGTGATTTATTGCGGTTTTTGTGTTTGTTTTGGTCTGGTAGATGAGCTGCTCGGAAGGAATGTCTACTGCCATTGTTCCTTATTCAAGTGAAGAATCGGAGGATAAACCCATGATTTACATGTTTTTTATAAGACAAATATATGAACTTTTTTTAATTATTGGTCAGTAAAAAATAATTACTTTTGATTTTATTTTTTTCTGAACAATTTGTGTTATGAACACCTATCATTGGTATGTAAACGTTGTTATTCTGTTATTATACGTTGTTTTTTCTTTTTCCTGTGATTAACAGAAAACAGGCCTCGATGCACATCATAGTTTTACAGGATGAGCACCAGGTAGTGCAAGATGCACATCAAGTTTCCTGAGATGAACTTTGGCCTTTTGCAGTGAACTTCATATATAGAATGAACTTTACAGTTTCGCAGGATGAGCATTCACTTCATTAAAGTGAACATTGTAGTTAGAAAAATAAAATATCATATTTGTACAATATTTTTTCCCAATAAAAGACGTTTGAATTTAGGATGAACATTATAGTTTTATAGCATGTGTATTGTACGTTGTTCAGTGCACAACAGAAAATCCTTATTTAATTTTTATTTTGATACAAAATTGTGCAAAAATTTTGATATGTTTTTTAATTTTTATCAAGATGATAGTAGCTTTTTAGGGTTTAGGGGGTTTAGGGGGTTAAGGATTTCAATTATAAGTTATGGACTAGTTTGCATCGGAAAAAATTTCAACCAAATTAAAAAAATTCGACTCCGTGTCGATTTAGGGTTTAGGGGATTTAAGGAGGTTTAAGCATTTCAATTATAGGTTAGGGACTAGTTTGCGCCGGGAAACGATTAACCTTTTAAAATTTCTTAAACCAATTAGGCTAGGATCTCCCTAATCGGTTTAAAAAAATTTCAACTAAATTAAAAAAAATTAAAAAAATTCATCTCCCTATCGGTTTAGGGTTTAGGGTTTAGGGGTTTAGGTGGGGTTTAAGCACTTCAGTTATAGGTTAGGGACTAGTTTGCGCCAAGAAACGATTAACTTTTTAAATTTTTTTAAAGCAATTAGGATAGGGTCTCGTTAGTTTAAAAAATATTTCAACCAAATTAAAAAAAAAATTTTAAAAATTCATCTCCGTGTCAGTTTAGGGTTTAGGGGTTTAGGTTTCAGGGTTTAGGGGTTTAGGGGAGATTTAAGCATTTCAATTATAGGTTGACTAGTTTGCGCCGAGAAACGATTAACCTTTTAAATTTTTTTAAACTAATTAGGCTCGAGTCTCATTTATGGTTTAGGGTTTAAGTTTTTAATTATAGGTTAAGGACTAGTTTGTGCCGGGAAACGATCAACCTTTTAAATTTTTTAACTAAGAATAAACGTTTAACTTATGGTTGCAGATGATTGTTGAAGATGATCATTGTGTTTAACAGGATGAATATTGTAGTTTAACCAGATGATCATACAGGACATTTGAAAAATAAGGACCATGACTCTAAGATGAACATTGCAGTATAACAGGATGCACATTTCAATTGGTGTAGTGAACAACAGAAAGTTTAATGAATTTTATATTTTCAAAAGACATTTCAGAGATCTCAGCCGGATTCACATTGTAGCTACAAACTTTTGGGATGATAAGTCAAAAACTGAAGTCTACTAGCATTGAACACTAGTTGAATTTCCATAAGACTTTTTGCCCTATAAATTTTCTAGATAAAATCTATTGATCTTTCCCTGAAACACCGAATACAACCTGTTGGTTCTTGACTGCAGGGTTTTAGCTAGATATTTCATCCGCAATGTGTTAAGGCTATGTTGCAGGTTTGCTTTTGTCCTCTGTTTAAAAGTGTCGAAAACAATAATACAAAACAAAACAAACATCATGTGAGATAAGGTAAACGTTGAAACCAATAGGAAATAATAACTGCAAATACAACATTTTCACACAGTGAGCATAGTGCTTTAACAGGACAAGCATTGTAATTTAACAGGCTGAATAAAAAAGGATTCTTTTGTGTTTCAGCATTCTCTTCTTGAGACGGTGAACTATTGTACCCTTTAATGGGTTGTGTGGAAGGGAGACTTTTGTCTTTATTGCCTCTCCTCACATTCTTATATTGATCTCAGTTGGATGAAAACATTCACAGTAATATAAGATGGATAGCAAATGAGCAAGACAGGATACAGGATGAACATTTAGTGATAGGCAGTGAACATATATCTAGAAATGAACATCAAACAAAATCAACATCAACATACAGGATGAGCATTAAAGCATATGTAGGATGAGCATCAAAGCATACAGGATGAGCAACCTAACATTCTCTGTCAAGATGACCATCGAATCATGTAGGATGAGCATCAAAGCATACAGGATGAGCAACCTAACATTCTCTGTCAAGATGAGCATCGAATCATACAGGATGAGTATCAAAGCGAACATCAAAGCATACAGGATGAGCAACCTAACATTCTCTGTCAAGATAAGCATCAAATCATACAGGATGAGCATCCAAGCATATAGGATAAGGATCAAAGCATACAAGATGAACACCATACGATAACAAATGAACAATCACAACTGAGTCTCGGGAATTATCTCACGCTACCATATATATGAAATGAACATCTGAATCTCAGAAGAATTTACTCAGGATGAACAATACCTGTCATCCACGCTTGAGCCTGATGATGACGGTGGACTAGGATCTGGTGTAGTATATGGCGTAGATATTTTTGCTAGTTTTGCTCTCACCATTCTGCTGTAAGAATTTGTGGATGAACATCAAAAAACTCATCAAAAAAGCTCGAATGACAAATTCACAATTCAAAACCCTAATTAATGAACAAATCAGATCTAAAACAACTAGTGTTCATTTTAACAAAAGCGAGTCCTTGCTCTGATAATCGCGTGCTTGATTTTGTGTTTTTCACCGTCAGAAAATTTGTCGGACGGAGTTTTTAAAATTTCCGGACAAAATTCACCGGACGAAGGTGTGAAGTGCGCTTTCAAATGACCGGAGAGACGTTTCTAACAGGTTTAGCGGATGGAAACTCGAAGATTTAGGAGGAAACTCACCGGAGGAAGTTACGCCAGAGATCTGGAGTGAGAAATCGTCGGAGGGTTTTGGGAGAAATGGACGGTTCATTTTGTGATATTTAAAATTGTGACTATTTATATTTTCCCTACTGAAGCGGTGGCATTTTCGTAATTTGCGGGAAGATGGGTGCAAGTGAGCTGTTGTGGGCGCATGTGGTTTAAACTAGGAGCTCCCTAGGTAGATCCTATATATTAATTGAGGAAGATGATTGTTGGCACTTCAACTCTAGATTTACTCTAACAAAAAAATAATCTCTCCCCTCAAAAATTAGTCTATATTATTAAATTAAAACAAAATAACAATATAAGTTATATTTTTAGGACAAACAGGATGAAAATTTAAGGTAGAATTTTTATTAAGGACATTGAAAAGATTGTTATTAATATTTACCAAAAAAAAAGATTGTTATTAATTAATTTTCACTTATGAAAAAGACAACATTATCCCAATTTCTATTCTCAATATCCCCTAGGGAACCAGCCATCAATTATATTAACTGATGATGGCTAAAACCATTTGCAATAGAAGTTCTAATGTGCAAGACCAAATTTTTCTTTTCCGAAAAAAATATTCCATTTTGTTGAATAAACTTATTCAACGAAAGGAATTACTTCTCCTCGACTACCTTCTCTACTCTCAAAAGTTCTCTCTAGTAAGAAACTAACAATCAACGAAAAATAATTAAGCATTTTATAGCTTACCTTCAATTTAAAATTTTCAAAATAAGAGAAAAAAAAAATTAAATTAAGAGCCTCACCACTAAATTATAGCCCTTAAAGACGGATCCTATTAAACGATATTCTGTTCGAAGTTTGAAGAATTAATCGGCTGAGGGTTTGATTTCTGCAGTGGATCAGCAACCTGCACCTTATGAGTTTTAACTTTGCCATCTCCTTGAACGGAGGAAATCTTCTCTGGGCGCACATGAGTAGCACCTTCTGACTCTGCAGATTTTCTTTTCTTTTTCTTTGACTGCAATGTCTCTGATGACCTAATATCGGAAAAATTGCTGGCACTGCCCTTTACTCTCTCTTGTTTCGGATGGTCCACATTGGAACCATTCGGAAAGGACACAGGCATTCTTACGGAAGCAGCTGTGAAGCTTTTGCTGGAAGTAGATTTGTTTACCAAGATATGATCACCAGAATCAGAAACTAGCTTCTGCGGTGGATGAGGCTGACCTAGCGGATTTGCTTCTTCTTGACCGGTTTCAGACTTCTGCGCCAACATCTTCTTCCTCTTGATTTTTTCAGAATCCTGAACATAAATAGAAATCAAATTAAACAAACAAACCAAGCTTCCAACATCATGGACAACATTGCTAAAACTCAAGCTTGACATCTGATTTTGTAATACACATCCAAATCTCACTATCAGAAGGTGGGTAGCAGGGAGAAAATACTTATCAATATGTAAATCCAGCCGGCACAACTATAGATTCAACATCAACCACCTTTAACCAACTAAGGACCTCAGTATTTAGTCAGGGTGGAAAACGCCTAGCCAGTAAACACGATTTATTCAGTATCAAGAGAAAATAGACACACCACAGTTGAATTTTAGTAGCAATAGCATAGCATGAATACACACCGTTGACTTCGACATCGAAATACATTTGATTAGATTAGATCTTTTAACACTAATCCTTTAAACTGAATACCTGATCTCCTTAGTTTAAACAGTACACCATAAACTATTTTCTTTCAAAAGGTTCAAAGGGGAGACCGACGAAACAATACATCATAGGAAAGTAGACCATTTAAGAAACGAAAAAGAAAGAGAGAAAAACATACAAAAAACAAATACCTTTTGACGACTGTTTAATGCCCTTCTCCTATCTTTTGCTCTGCATATAGCACGCTTAATCCCATGATTATCCATAAACCCATTTGGCCACATTGCACTTAGCTGCATCAGAAAATAATTAGAACAGTGATTATAAGTGTAATTACAATCTCCTTGGAATTTAGAAGAGTAACTAAAAGTGTCAACATAAACCAAACCCAAATAAGCTTAAGGGAAAAAAATCAACAGATATAACCAGAATTTGGAAGGGGTTTAAGATAGAAAAGATTGCAGAATTATGAACCAACCATGCACCAAGGAATTTTGTAAGAACTATAGACAGGATAATCACCTCAGCATACAGCTTTCTGACTTGTGGACCAGCATCTTCTTCTAACCCCTGGAACCAGAACAAAACCACAATGATTACTTAAATGGAAGAAAAGTAAACCAAACATAGAGAAATATAAGGCAAGGAGTTTATGAAGGTGAGATTTTAAACAAATCCATACTTCTACGTAAAGGTCATACAGATCGCATATTTTGTCTTCCAGCAAATCATCCATGCTATATTTCCTCTTCAAGGCATCTTTCTCTTCGGCACTAATCTCTTGAAAATCATCAGAACTTCCAGCTTGTTGTTCAAGAGCCTGGAAGATAAATAGTAGAAATGAAGCCAATCAGAGAACAACATTGCAAAAGCCCATAACAAGTGCCAACACGTATAGTAAACATGCAAAAGTTAATAATCAATACATCATGGGACAATAATAATTGAACTACCAAACCTGCCATTATCACACCAAAATACAACTACATTCGATGTTTCTAGACACTGCAAAAAATGAAGCAAACCATACACAAACTTTTACCTTGGATTTCATTAGAGGAATCCGTGTCATAACCATCTCCGCAACTTCCTTCTTTACCAACTGCACTCTACTATCTTTCTCCTGCTTTGCTGACAATCCCATGTTGACCATAATTTTCAAATTTCTCTGAAGAAGAAAACAATCGTATATCAATCACACTGTTCACATATGTCAAAATAAATTGCCAAAAAACAACAGAGAGATAGCTAATAAGACAACCCCCACCAGACCAGCCAGCAAATTCAAGGGACACCATTTCCTAAGTGATTTATCAAATACTGTAACACCAGTTAAAGAGAATATGATGTAACTAATTAAGAAGTTTGCATAGTTCATCATATTTGAGCTCCAAAATTGCCATTTACTGGATATTCTCCATCAATGTAACAAATGTTGATCAAGTATCAATGGTCCAAAAGCATGAATACCTTTAATGTTCTAAGCTGTATCAAGTGGCCTACAATACTCATCAATCGGTTAATCAACTCCTTCGATATTTTTCCATGGCTTGCTTGCTGCAAAAAAAGAAAGAAAGACAATCACCAGTTAATTTTCATGAGTCAAAACAAGAGAGGGCCATTTAGGTATAGGAATCACATTAAATTGAGCACAAGGGCACTGAAACGGTAATGTTATATTGATTACCGCAAATCTGGCAACTTTAGCCAGCTTCTGCTTTACTTCTGCCGGCAATCTCCTTTTGATTGCCTGAGATGAATTATCACCTTCCTGAAGTTCTCCGGTAGGAGGCCTAGCTATAAATTTGGTCAAGAGAAGAAATCAGATGAGACTTCAATTATCCACAAAAGCAATTATTTTAATAGTTTTAGTTCAAGACATAAGAAGAGGCTCAAGTTACATTCAGCAACAAGCTTCTCCAAGTCTCTGATAGCCTTCTCGAGCAATGTGCTTTTAGGTCTAACACTGCTACCTTCCCTCTTCTGCACTGCGTGGTTTCTCTGCAAGTATTCAGAAACAACATGATAAGAATTTAACTAATTGATGTACATACGTTACTGAAGTGGGATTTGGTATAACATGCAAAGGAACATAAAAATTAAATTTAGCCTCAAAACATAAAAATAGATGCAGGTAATTTTCATATTAAGACAATAAAGTTAAAAGTATAATGATAGAAACAAATAGGGAAGTGACATCGGATAACAAAGTTATGATTCTGATTCAATTAATAGAAACGGAAATAAAAAAAAATAATATTCATAATCATAGTCAATCCCCGGTGCTGAAGGGATCCCAGGTTTGCCAAGGTATGGGGAGGAAGGACATTTGTACCGCAAACCTCACCCTTGCTTTTCGCAGATATGTTTTAGACCCGTGATCTACCAGTCAGAATATAAGAAAATTGAAAAAATGAGAAAAAATAATCATGCTGAATGGCCTCCAGAGAAACACTACTCATTTGTCCGCAAATGAAAACTTCGGGAATATAGACTTCACACGTGTCAGTTTCTACCGCTTGCAACAGCTCACACTTCATTAAAGACAAAGGGATAAAGAAAGAAAGTCCTAGACCAATTAATGCAATCGTTTTGGCAGCCTAAACCGGAACCTATAGCCCAATGTCAAACTCAGACAAATTCAGCTAGGAGTCTCACATATGCAACAACGGAAAAATAATTTGTTATCTAATGGTCAACCTTTCTTGCAATCTCAATCAAACTATGAGTAAAAATAAGACCCTTGACTTGTATCGGACAATCCCATACAGTCAGACTCTGCCCAAATATCCCCTCCAAGACTTCTGATCCCATATAGGGCCCTCAAAAAGATAATCCTTACATATCGATGTGTTGGAAAGGTAGCTATAAATCCGAACAGCTTTTATGCCACGTTCAATAATTTCTTGGCAGGTTTAGGGGAACCTATGCTTCGTCATGACAAAAAAGATACACTTTTGCACATCACTCACATCATAATTCTGACGCTTGTTTGGCATAAGAAGCGATCTGCTTCATAATAAATATACATTGGGGTCCATATTATGTCCATAAGGAAACTACAAATCAATTTCGTATTGGAAAATTTTTCAACTTTTTTAACAGTCGAAGGTTTGTTAATAGCCAAATTAGCGAATTCGCGAAGATACTTTCACATTGATTTTATAAGCATCCTAGGAATTGAAATCCACATACCAAAAAGGTACATTTGATGTTTGTTGATGAGAATAAAGAACTAAACCGTATTTGATAAGCGAAGTGTAAAAATGTAAAGAATTTAAACCTTTTACATGCGAGTTTCCAACTCTGAAAAGCTTAACGAATAATACATTCACGAATAAAAACCCAAATTCTTCCAACCATTTTTTGGCTATATTTTTGGAAAAGTTATGTAGGGGTTTCCTTTCCCTACTGCTATGTACATCCTCTAACCTAAACTCTTAAACTTGCATGGAATGACATGGAAGGGTGTGATTATATGCTGTCCGAATTGAATGATCTAGACGCACAGGTAGTCATCGATAATCATCTCTTCAAGCACAAATTCGGATCCGTGCATTTATCTTTTTTCAATGTACACAAAAGACATTGGAGAGTTGATGAACAAGGTTTTCACCTTTAGCGCGTCAATATAACATGACCTAAAAGCACATCGGATCTGCTTACAAGAATCGAGCTACTTTATGGAGATCTAAACATTATGATTATAAGATGTAATCCAGGAAAAGATGTAATCCAGGCGATTATAAGAATGGAGCTGAGACAAAACATAACAGCTCACCCAGCCTCTCCCAAACAAGATGAAACGAACCCATATTATGGTGTAATTTGCCAAACAGTCTGGGATCTAACCATCAAGACAACTATATACAAGACCCAATTGACATAGAAGAAGACAGTGTACTTCTAGTTTTTATCTTATATAGTAATGGATTTGCCAACTACATATATAGTTCAGCCCAAAGCTAATCAGACTCGGATAGACAAGGTTCCTAACTTCTTGTCCCATTTTTGTTATAGTAACAACCAAATTCAGCAGTCTTACGACACAAAGAATACATTGAAACCTTAAGAACCATATACAACAAGTACATGACATCTCCACTCCACATTCTCTTGCTTGGTTATCCCGATAAATTCTTATGAAGCAAAACCCACTAAGGTTTCTGCTAGCACACAAATCAAGTAGTGTAATGGAATCTAGGCCAAGATAAATGTAAAACCCCAGCTTGTTCATTGCAGTAAAAAATACGCAAGCAAAGAAGCCTAGTTGTTTGTTTGGGCGTTCCGGAGCAAGTTTAAATCAAAATATATGTGCTCTAACTACTACTGCAACCACAAAAGCGAACAAAACAATTACATCTCATGTTGGGCTGTCTGAAGATAAAATTAAGAAAATCAACTGTATATCTTAACAACCACATACCCAATAAGTTAGACAGTTCAGAAACCAGAAGCCACAGAAGGAAACAAAGGAGAAAGAAAGAAAATGGCCTAATAAGACATGAGAATTGTACAGGGAAAAAAAGGCACATATCATGTTGATACAACAATAAATCTCAATTACTACATATAAGAACTATCTCCATCATATGTTTCAACAACAATTACTTCGAACATCATAATTTCAACAGTCACAGCAACTTTCTATCTTTTTTGGTTTTCTTTTCCTGGCTGATAAAATTAATAGTAAATAAGCAGCACAGGAACAGAACTTAATAGTAATCACAAATCCAAGGAGAACAGCTTCAAATCCAAGCATTGATCACATGAATCAATCCCAAGGTTACAATAAAAGGCAGAAATTTCCAAGCTCAGGATTACCAATAACTATATGGTACAGGAATGACTCACCACATTCTCCACGGAATTTTTGCTGTCCGCAACACTGAGTTCAGACCTTTCACGGACACCTGTTTTTTCTTTCTGCAGACCAGATTGATCCATTGTAGAATTGTTTAAATACTTTCCTGAATGATTTTTACTGTGTGAAGACAAACTTTTCTCCTGCGGCCTCTGATTTGATGCATCAGAAATGGTGCCATGACTATTGACTACATCAGTTCCATGCTTCTGCATGCCAAAATCCTTCCCTGGTGCCATCTCATTGCCATTCACAACTCCTAATAGACACTGCTCTCCACCCTTAACATCAGAATATTTCTTTCTGGATGAAATTGCTGAAGAGTTAGCCTGGTTATGATGTTTCACATCTTCACTGTGTATATTTGGTAAAGCAATAACTGTAGATAGGGCAGATGCATTTTTCTCAACCAGTGAAACTGGTTTTCCAGCCCTCTTTGGCGCTTTTACAAGTTTATTTGGAATGCGACCATCATCACCACCATCAACATCTTTCCTTCTCCTTTTCTTCGGCTGCTCGTTTGGTAACGTGCTTGGTTCACTAGCAGCACAAGGGAAACGAAGATCGAAACTAAGAGAAAGAAAATAATTGCGTGAAAGACAAACAAAAAAAAAACTCTGCAAGAAATTTAGTGGAGATAACAGAACATAACCAGTTCAATTCCATGCAGGAAGGATCTTTAGGTGTACAAACACAAGGAACAGCACTGAATATATACCTAGAAAACGCTCCCTAACAAACATGGCGATGGCAGAAACTTTGATGATTATGAACCTTACAGGTACACAAATTAGTCTTCTGAAATGTAACCCTTTTCCCATTTCTGGGAGATAACATTATCATCACCAGTCTCTCACATTGACGATCAATTCTTGTTTTCTACTGATTTAATTTAAGTTTCAGCCAATTTTGATAGTTGATCATTAAGACCTCGTTGTCGACTCTCATGAGCAGAGCCAATCGAGCAAAACACCTTCTGTGGTGTCTTACTCTTAGGTTAGTTAGACAGGTAACCCAGCTTCTAGGTCGTTCTGCTTACTAACCGTGATTTAACAAGGGCGTGGGTTTACTTATGCCTTATGACCTCAAATTGATAACATACTCAACAATTTGTGGATGTTTAAAAGTTCAAATAGAGCAAAACAACTCCTACCAACAAGTGGCTTAAAAACATAAGAAACGCTAAGACCTTAACAAGAAATGAGAACCATAAAAGAATACTGAAAATATGATACTCACACTCTCTCCAACTTCCCCCTGTTGACAAAGAACCCATCATGTTTTACTGCTGAATTATCAACTTGGAAATATTCATCCTGCACAATCCCATTAGAAGAAGACATATTAAAATCTTCAGAACCAAAAGTTAATAAGTTCAACCAAAAGTTGTTAATTTTGCATACAGGGATCATAGAATGGGAAAAGAAATCATAAGGAAGATGGTAACAACAATTTAAACTAACTCACCAACTCAGTATCATCAATAAAGGAATCTTCTGTATCGTACTCATCATCATCAGGCACTACATCATTAGCATCCTCATCATCACTACTAGCTCTCCCCTGCAGATTTAAATTTTGGTTTTTTTAAAAAAAAATAAAAAAAGTAAAAAAAAAAAAAACAATGAAGGAAGTGACAGCATTCCACATGATGTAACTGGAACAAAATAATTTTTTTTGAAAATGATCCAAATTAAAGAAAAGCTAAACACTTCACTGTATCCATACCACATACAACCGCTCAATTCTCTCAATTACAGTATTCAGACGATTGGAGGGCGGCTGCGCAGCATCATTCCCTCCCTTTTCCCCAGCGAGTACTTGCCCCTGTCAATGCCCGGTAGAGAAAACCAGAACAAAATGTAAGCAAATTGGACCCCAAAGAGCAAAACAATAGAATCATAAAAACTAACCGGGGCAATGCGCGAGTCTAACGAAGGATGATGAGGAGGAGGATGAGAAGTTACAGGATTAAGACCACTACTACTATTGACATGAACAGGAGCCGGCGGAGCATTCAGGTCGGGAAACTCCGCAGAACCAGTCCCATTAGGCTTCGACGTTCCAGCAGCGCCGGCAGCAGCAGAATTAGTGGCGTCCTTGAGAAGCTTCTTCCACGAAACAATCGTAGTCTCCCCGGGCCTCAATTCCACAGTAAACCTCTGCCGACCACCGCCCACCTCATACGACGTCGCTCCGCCCCTTCCGACACCGCCACCGCCACTACTTGATTCAGCTCCGCCCTTGCCACCACCTCCTCCTCCTTTCATCGGAAACAATCGAATTCCTTAACTAATTATGTGATCAAACTGAATTAGAAGCATTCGAATTTGAGAAATAAAAATTGGGGAATCGATCGAAACCCTACGAATTGGAATTGGAGGAAAAGAAATACAAGGATTTTTGGTTTTTTCGAATGAGAGAGAAAGCCGAGGGGGTTGGGGGGAGAAAGATGGATTAATGTTTTTGGAGTAATTTATTTTTTTTAGTTTTGTTAGTATTTGGTTTAATTGTTTTTGGGAAGAATACGTTAAATTTTAACCGCTCCAATTGTAAACGTGTCAAAAAAATCAAGACAATTTGGCGTTTAACTGAGATTGGGTGTTTCGGTTTATTTTCCAGAAAGGGCGGGCCAGCAGCCCATCTGAAGGAAGACAATTCAAATTATTGGTGGGTTTACAGGCTGATCTTTTTGGGCCGAAGTGGTTTTCAGAAACAAAAAATTTAAAGAACAGTGAAAAGAAAACGTAAAAAGGTCGAATAAAAAAAAAGTAAAAACGGATAGTGACTGCTGTTTATTTCCATTTTTCATAGTTTTTCATATATTATTTCATTAATAAATATCTAATCCCAATATATCTTTTTACATATCCAATACACATCTATACGTTCTCAATATAAAGAAACACTTAAAAAAACACACTGAAAAAAACGACCCACAAATACATGTACCAAACCATTTTCTCAACAACTACCAACTTAATAATAGTAGTTATACATGACACACCAGTCACTATTTTATTTCCACATCTATTTTCTCTATACATATCATTTTTTTTATTAAATGTGATTTAAACCATGGTAACAATCAATTTGCTTTGACTGAAAAATCTTTATATATTAACGCAGTTGAATTTCAGAATCAATAGTTTTGACTGTTGAAAAATCTATATATATTAATGCAGTTGAATATCTAGACAAATTGGGCAATGTAACTTGATTGAAAAATATAAATGGATGTGTATTAATAATAGGGGACAGTAAAAAGGATAGGAAAAAAATTCTTATTAAAGGCGTTCCACAAATGGTAATTTCTAAGAAGAGCGTTAAAATTTTACAATTCTTATTAAGGATGTAATATTTATCGAATTAATTTATTACTAAGCTAATCAATATATTATTATCCTATTAAAAGAGAAGTCTAAGAGAATAAAAATATTGAGGTATCGCGTTGTGGTTACAAATTTTCCTTCCAAAACAATGACGTATTGATTAAAAAAAATAGGTTCATGTTATAAATTCATATAAAAATTATCTCATCCTATTGTCAGGCAGAGAAATTTTAATTATGTGTGCTCTAATTCAATATTTTAATTTCAGAAAAAAAAAAAAAACTTACACCATTTATGGAAAAAAAAATGTTGAAACTTCACGGATAAAATTAAAAAAAAATTCAAACGAAATATATTTTTTACATTCAAATTGAATGACTCAAATTCTTATTTTTTTGTTTTTTTTTAAAAAAAAAGAAAACATGAGACTTCCCGAGTAAAATAATGAGAAAATCTAAGTAAGGCATTCTTCTTATATTCAAACTCAATTATTGTAATATTTATCTTATTAGAAAATGTTGAAATCTAACATGTAAAATTACGAAAAAAGAAAGTCAATAAAACATTTCTCTTATATTTAAGCTCAAAAAGATTAAAATTATAAAAACATTAATATCACTTAATTTTCACACCGTCTTTTTTACCTCATTTTTATTGTTCACTTATTCTTTGTATTATTCGTTTTTCTTTAAATTCTATTTCATAATCAACCATTAATCGAGTACGTAGTATTTTTTCACAACTAATAATTAATTTACTAATACATTTTAATATATTCCGTGCAACGCACGGGAGAGTACCTAATGACTATTTTAACCCCTCTTAATCTATTTGATTTTTATCTTTAAGTTTGAACTAGAATAATCTACCTAAAAAATGTAATAGAGGATCAATTAAACTCCATGCCATGCCCTGAGAAAACTACTGGCAGTCACGAACTCTTTAAGAGAAGCTAAAGAGACTTTAGAAGAATAGAAGTTTGAGGATGAGCCATCATTGCATAAATATTCATGCTGATCTATATCATGAGTAATTAATTACACAAAAACATTACTATTACAAATCAATTCCTTGTTCTAGTATTTAATAAAATCATGAGGAACATTCATCAAACAATATGCTTAAAACTTGGGAGTGGATTATTTTTGTTGTCTCACGACCAAGATGACCATCCCCTTCCACAATTTGGATTTTCTTTTTATTCAAATTTAATCTTACAAACTACTGCATTCATTTGAGTTCGCTGGAAATTGTACTCCCTCCGTCCCATAATTATTGTACAGTTTGAGTTTTCATTTCTAGTTCAAATTATACTAAAAGTGAAATCTCAAACCGGATAATAATTATAGGACAGAGGGAGTATTTGTTTTTTGTCACTGGGTTTGACAAATGCTTAATTGTCAGAGCTGATTGGTGAATTATTTCAAAAGCATGATGATATTGTTCTTTGAATAATACAAATGAGATCCCAGGAAAGAGGATGACCATCATAGATGATGATTTCCATATGACAAATATACCATTCAGTTCAAAGGTTTAGATAAAACATTCCTTTTTGTTTACCAAAGAAAAATAAGACATTAATTTAAAGGATTAAAAAAGTCATTAGAATGGCGATAAGATAGTTAAATGAATGTTACGCCCTTGATAGGAATTTTAAAACTTCAATGCCCTTTCTAAGAATTATTATTTGTGAAACACCTTTAATAAAAATTTTCCCGAAAATATATACTTTAAAATAGTTTATGGATTTCATTATTTATGAATAACAAAGGCGGAAAGATTCATTTTGATTTATATGTGAAAAAAGACCCCTGTTTCATGAAAAAATACTTGAATGATGTTTGTGAAAACTCTCTTTTGGAAAAGGAAATGAACAAGGCCTTTGGTGAACTTTGGCTCAAGAGTGAATTAGAATAAAGTCAAGGTTTTAGCAAGCTCGTCGAAAATGAAAAAAAAGAAAGAAAGTTGGTCTAAAATGAAAAAAGATGACCATTTGGATTTGGAGAAACAAGAATGTGAAACTTTCTCCATCATTGGTCGACTCCCATGGAGTTGAGTCAGGCCGACGATGTTAACCCGAAGTAAGGTGCATGAATTGTGGTTGATAAGTTGCATGTTTATGTTATTGGTTTCGTGTACTTGAAGAATAATTGCATTGACCCTTTGTCATGTTCCGGTACATCGGTGACGGAATCGAAAATGAAGAATTAGAACAGAGGGCAGATTTGAACCGAGAAGAAGTGAAGGATCGAAGGAGAAAGATCGAATTCGAGAGAATTCAAAGAATTAAAAACGAAGAATGAGAAGGAATCGAATCGATTCAGAATCGGTGAAGAACAGAATGAATCCGAAAGAAAATCGAACTCGGAATTCAGAGGAGCGCGGAAGAAATGGAGATTAGAAATAGAAGAACGGCCAAGGAACGCAAGCTCTGAGACCAATTTATCACGTTCCGGCACACCGATGACGGAATCGCGGCAAGAAAGATCAAGAATAGAAGAAATGAAAAGGGGAATTAGGGTTCAAGGAGAGAAAGACGAAGAAGAAAGCGAAATTCAGAAATGTATTTTCATCCACGATGTCGTTTACAGTGTTGACTACTCCGTATATAGTCTTACCTGACTTCCAAAAAATACCAAACAGTCCCTGAACTATAAACGATTACAATAATACCCCCAGTACATGACACCCTTTTAGGAGATTTAGAAGAATCTAAAACAATCAGGTCTTCGTTCCTATTTATCGAAAACCCGTCAAACAAGTTTGATGGAATTTGTCTATTCTCTTCTTTCAAAATCCACCAACCAAATACTCCTTAACATCTTTCCAGATTACTATAAACTACCTCCATCAATTTGACAAACAAAAGTACCAAAAAAGTAAAAAAAAAATAAAAATAAAAATAAAAATAAAAACCTTTGAATAATGACCGGCTTACCACCATACCAATTCTAGTTGCATTAATTAGTTAATTACACATTATTACATATGATAATTATTATATATTCATTTTCTTCCAAAAAAAAATAATTCTTATTGACTTTTGAGGTTTATATTTATATTAAAAATATTAATGAGATTTGATTTTTAATACAAAATAAGTTGAAATATAATGTATTGAGTCTACTACATTTGAATAATGAAAATAGTGTTAAAGGTTTTGACCGAGTTTAAGTGTTTAACTATGATCTTGGATCAAACCTGAACATAACATATACAATAATGATTAAAATATTTATTAAAAGAGTTTTGCCTTTCGAAAGGGAGCTACCCAATACTCGAATCTGGATTAATCGGAGTAATAATTTCGGTCACCGGATTATACCAAAATAAATTTTAATCCCATTATTCCTAGATTAATTAGAAACTTTGAATACAGTAACTAAAAGAAGTAAATTGTCCATTTGTCCCCACATAGGATGATAGGAGCTTCATTAAAGATAATTATACATTGATTTTTTTTTAAAAAAAAAAGAAAAAACTGTTTGCTCATTCCATATCACCCATTCTAAAAACAATGGAAAGAGTTCGACCCTATAAAGTACTCAGATGAATATATTCGGTAATTTATCCAGTATATTCGGAAGCACTACGCATTGCTCCCCTCCTATTTTTTATATTTATCGTCCTTATTGTATTTTTTTCTCAATATTTTTATATTTTGCAAGTTTAGTCCATGTTATTTTTTTCTCTGTCCTTTAAAAAAAAATCTCTAATCTTTAAACGGGCATAACTTTCAATCCGTGAAAAATTAGAAAATGTTTTACATACAAAATTTATTGTTCTCATCGAGATCTATACAACAACATCCATATCGAATATTTTTTTCGAATTTAAAAAGGACTAAATTTCGATGGGCAGAAATAAGGTGGTTATCCAGTTTAAGAAAACCAGTTTAAGAAAATGGATAACCAACTTATTTTAAAATGGTTATCCATTGTATTCATGCTGATTATCCAACCAGTTTGAACCGGTTCTCCATTTGGTTTGTATGCCTATCGAACTTGTTTTGTAGTTGTAATTCGACGGGTTTGTATGCATATCCAACTTGTTTGTACTGGATATCCAACTTGTTTGTACTGGTTATCCATTTGGTTTGTATACATATCCAACTTGTTTTGTAGTTGTAATCCAACGGGTTTGTATGCATATCCAACTTGTTTATACTGGATATCCAACTTGTTTGTATTGGATATCCATCCATTTAGTTTGTATTACTATCCAACTTATGTGTACTGGTTATCCAACGGATTTATATACTTATCTAAATTGT